TAATTGCGTTTTGACGATCCACTGCTCGTAATACTACGCTAAGGAAAAGCGGAAGGAATTCTTACCATTTTTTGCCGGGCTTGTTTGCTATTTCCAAAGTATTGGAAGAGAAATAAGCCATTCGGAGAAAGATAACTATGAGATGACCTCGCTCATTTATGGAATATAATGAATAACATAAACTGATGAACAAAAACAGATTCAGAGACACAGAAGCATGGATCAGACCATCAAATCTCAGAGGGAAGGTAGGAGAGGGTGGGGGTAAAGGGGAGAGATCAACCAAAGGCCTTGTATGCATACATATAAGTCTAACCAATGGAAACAGACAACAGATGGGTAAGGGCATGAGTGGGGGTTGGGGGGGGGGGTAACGGGGGGATAAGGACACATACCTTAATCAATAAGGAAACTAAAAAGAGATTGATATTATAGGCAGTACTGAAAGTTTTCAAGCAGAAACATAAAGATAATTCAATAAAACATAGAAAAACACCAGCCAATATTCAATCATATATATATACACACTAGAGGCCTGGTGCACAAAAATTTGTGCACTTGGGAGGGTCCCTCAGCCTGACCTATGCCCTCTCGCAGTTTGGGACCACTCAGGGATTGACCACCTGCTGGCTTAGGCCCGCTTTCTGGGGGATTGGGCCTAAGCTGGCAGTCAGACACATCCCTATGGCAGCCCAGGAGCCCTCAGGGGATGTCCACTTGCCAGCTTGGAGCAGGCCTAGCTGCTGTCGGACATCCTTAGCTCTGCTGAGGAGGCAGGAGAGGCTCCCACCACAACCACTGTACTGGAAGCCGTCAGCCTGGCTTGTGGCTGAGCAGAGCTCCCTCTGTGGGAGCACACTGACCACCAGGGGGCAGCTACTGCATTGAGCGTCTGCCCCCTGGTGGTCAGTGTGCATCATAGTGACCAGTGATTCCCAGTCACTCTGCTGTTAGGGTCAATTTGCACATTACCATTTTATTATATAGGATAGAGACCTGGTGCATGGGTGGGGGCCAGCTGGTTTGCCCTGAAGGGTGTCCCAGATCAGGGTGGGGGTCCCATTGGGGTGCCTGGCCAGCCTGGGTGAGGGGCTGAGGCCTGTTTTCAGGCTAACCACACCCCCTCCAGAGAGGAGGGTCCTGCTGGGGTGCCTGGCCAGCCTGGTTGAGAAGCTTATGGCTGTTTGCAGGCTGGCCAAGCCCCCCAGCTGGGACCCTTACCCCATGAGAGTATGGCCAGCCTGAGTAAGGGGCTGATGGCTGTTTGCAGGCTGGCTATAGCCCCTTCAGGGTGGGGGCCCCAATGGGGTGCCTGGCCAGTCTCTGTGAGGGGCTGATGGCCGTTTTCAGGCTGGCCATACCCTCTTCAGGGTGAAGGGTCCTGTTGGGGTGCCTGGCCAGCCTGGGTGAGGGGCTGATGGCTGTTTGCAGGCTGGCCAAGCCCCCCAGCAGGGACCCTCACCCCATGAGTGTGTGGCCATCCTGGGTGAGGGGCTGATGGCTGTTTTCAGGCTGGCCCCATCTCCCAGGCACCCAAGCTCCCAGTGGAGGCTGGCTGGAAGCAGGTATCTGGTATTTATTTAGCTTCTATAATTGAAACTTTGTTGCCTTGAGTGGAGGCCACAGCCAGCCAGGGCAGGCAGGAAGCTTGGCTTCCTCCATCGCCGGGGCAACCAAGCCTCCTGCTTTCTCCAGCTCCATGGCTGCTGGCCACCATCTTGGTTGTTTTAATTTGCATATAGTCTCTCTGATTGGCTGGTGGGCGTGGCTTGGGCATAGCAAAGGTATGGTCAATTAGCATCTTTGTCTTTTATTAGTGTAGATATATATATATATGTATATATACATATATATATATTTATATAAATATATAAATTCACTCCCTTACAAATGGTCATCATCCCTCCATACTCTAGCAGTGGTTCTCAACCTGTGGGTCGCAAACAATGAAAATACATCCTGCATATAAGATACTTACATTACGATTCATAACAGTAGCAAAATTACAGTCATGAAGTAGCAACGAAAATAATTTTATGCTTGGGGATCACCACAACATGAGGAACTGTATTAAAGGGTTGCGGCATTAGGAAGGTTGAGAACCACTAGATGTATAGCATGAAAATAAATATTTTACATAGTAATACAATATATGATTAAAAAATTTGCTTTATCATTTTGAAATTAATCTGTGATTTTAAGGTGGCATTAGGTCAAACTATTTATTAAAAATTATCTTTCAGTTAAGAGTCCTCTTGGAGACATGGATTTGATAATCATGTTGCAAGTGGCTCCCGTAGGGATTGTAAACACTGTGATGAAAAAACAAAACAAAAGAGGATTCTAATGAGGAGAATTAAACCTGGTGAGCAGCTATTAAACCCAAGTATGTCAGAGTCTACATTATTAGGAAGAGCAGTTAAGACAGTGATATACAAAAGTATGATAGTCATAAAAGTGAAAAACCCAAGTCTCAGATTTTCCTCTCTTTTAAAATTGTATGAATTGTCTTGGTCATTAAGTGTGGTTTTTAAAAATATATTTTTATTGTGTTCAGAGAGAAGGGAGATGGAGAGAGAGATAGAAACATCAATGATGAAAGAGAAACATTGATCTGCTACCTACTGCATTCCCCCTACTGGGGATTGAGCCTGTAACCAGGGCATGTGCTCTGACCAGGAATCCAACCATGACTTCTAGGTTCATGGGTTGAGGCTCAACCACCAAGCAACACCAGGAGGGTTCATTAATTGTAGTTTTTTCCCATAAGAATACCATTCAGGATGATTCTTTTAGGTACAAAAATTATTTGATGTGATATATGTCATTTGAGAAAAATTATTCTAAAAAATCCATGTTGTCCATTAGGTAAATGGGATTTTCCAAATATCTGATCCATATGGAAATAAATTTGGGGAAGTAGGAAAACAGCAAAAAGATAAGCTGTTGGATATCTGAGAGAGCAGAAAACTTAATTGAGTTACATAAATAGAATAGAGAAGATGAGGTCAAAGAAATAGATATTCTAGGAACTCAATGGGAAAAGCAAGTTCTACTTCCATAGTAGGAAAATAATCACAGCATCTGACTCTGAGCCTTTGACTTTTGCCATCATGGGCACATCTTCAGTCTTAGGACAATGACCTGTTGGTAGTTTCCTTCAAAAAGAATGCTTTCAGAGCCTGTTTAATGTCCTTGTTCCTGAGACTATAGATGAAGGGGTTCAGCATGGGTGTGACCACAGAGTATATCACTGCAGCTGTTGCACTTGAGTGTGTATTGTGGGTAGCAGCAGAGCTGAAGTACACTCCTAGACTTGTACAATAAAATAAGAAGACAACTGAGAGGTGAGAGGCACAGGTAGAAAATGCTTTATACTTCCCTTGAGCAGATGACATTATATGTATGCAAGATACTATTTTAGAATATGAGTAAAGAATCCCAGCGAAAGGACCTCCACCAAGCAGAAGAGCTGAAAAATAGGTCACCACGTTATTTAAAATTGTGTCAGAACAGGCAAGTTTGATCATCTGATGGAGTTCACAGAAAAAGTGAGGGATTTCAACATGCATGCAGAAGGACAATCGTAATGTCATTAAGCATTGTAGGAAGGAGTGCAGGACACTCATGATCCAGCATATCAGAACCAGCAGTCCACAGAGCCGGGGGTTCATGATGACTGTGTAGTGCAGGGGGTGGCAGATGGCCACAAACCGGTCATAGGCCATCACAGTCAAGAGGAAAATATCCAACCCAGCAAAAAGTATGTAAAAATACATCTGGGTGATGCATCCTGCATAGGTGATGGCTTTTCTCTGTGTCTGGATGTTCACCAGCATCTTTGGGACGGTGGTGGAGGTGAAACAGATGTCTACCAAGGACAGGTTGGAGAGGAAGAAGTACATGGGTGTGTTAAGGTGGGAGTCTGAGCTCACGGCCAGGATGATGAGCAGGTTTCCCAACACAGTGATCAGGTACATGGAGAGGAAAAGCCCAAATATGAGGGGCTGCAGTTCTGGTTTCTCTGAAAATCCCAGAAGAACAAACTCTGAAATTTGTGTAAGATTCACAGGTTCCATGTGGTGGAATTGACTATCAGGAAAGATAAAAGTAACATGACTAATTTTCACGAAATTCATATTTTGCAGGCTAGACATTACTTTTAATATTTTATGTATGGATATGATCCCCTTTAGGGGGTATCCATTGCCACCCCTGATATGGAATATTTGTCCCAATCACCTATGTATCTGAGGGGTTCATGTATTCTAGTTTCAATGAGAATTTCTTCAGGTTTCTCAAGAATATAAATTGAGTGCTGACCATGTTTTAGGCACTGTCCAGGCCGTGCGAATAGGGTGCTGAAAAACAAAAGTATCTACAATCCAATGAGGGAGAAAGAATGTAGAAGCAAGTAATGAAATAATAAATTACTTTAGGTGTTGGCAGTGGTGTGAAGAAAAGGAAATTACATCTAAAAGAGACAGTGAGTAGGGAGTTTTTTTCATGGGTTTGTAGATAGATCTGCAAACAAGGTGCCATTTGAATAAGTGAAAAGGGGAACATTAGGAGATGTTCTAAATTAAATACACTGGGGCCAGAGAGTGTGAGAAAAACAATAGTAGTCAAACAGCTAAAAGCTGTGGCCCACTTACAAAAGACTACTCACATTCCTGAATGTATGTTGGAACTCGAATCAACTTCTGTAGAGAGCATTAGATGCCCCTGCATCCTGCATGCCCATGAGCTTCAGAACTGTTGCCTGTAACCAAACAAAGTAGTAATTATTCTTCCTCAGTATCTCTTCAAGACATGCCCCCACTTTACCTGCTCCCACCCCACACAGGATCTGTAGCCAATGTAAGTCGTTTCAAAAGAGCTTACATGTTTCTTTCCTAAAACATGAAGTGGAAAGAGCTGGTAAACTCCAGGACTTGGACATGTCTTTTGTACCTCACTCTGCTGCTGGTAGTTTAAACTTTATGCCCCAAGACTTTTCCTGGTTGGCATTTGACTCAAAAAATAATTTTTTTTCTTAAAGAAAAGCTTTTGGCCGGCTGGTGTCGCTCAGTGGTTGAGCATAGAACTATGATCCAAGAGATCATGGTTGGATTCCTGGTCAGGGCACATGTCTGGGTTGTGGGCTCAGTTCCCAGTGGGGGGCCTGCAGGAGGCAGCCGATCAATGATTCTCTCTCATCATTGATGTTTCTATCTTTCTCTCTTTCCCTTCCTCTCTCTGAAATCAATAAAAATATATTAAAAAAGGAAATCTTTTGGCCTTGATAATTTTTTCTCTAACACAACAGAGGAAGAGAGACACAAGGCTCTGTGGGAACATGTGAGCCCTGCAGAATGACTGGCCAGTGTAAGGGCCCTGAGGAAGGTGCTTGTTTCTAATGTTCAAGTCTAAAAAATTAAACCCATTTGCAAGGTGGATGAGCATGAGGGAGAGTGATGAGAAGTGGTGGCAGACACACTGAGTAGTGAGGAGGCCTGTCTGCTATGGCTGACAACTCAGGCACAGGGACTTCCTCGTCCACACAGCCTCTTATACTCTATTATTCTTGTTGCAAAGGTGTCCTGTGAGTGAAAATAGATCCCCTTCTTAGTACCTTCTCTTGATTGAGCTCTGGTCCCATATTGTAAGAGCCACCTTAGAATGTATGAGTGCTTGTACCCCTGGTCTGAGGGCTGCTCACATCCACAAATCACAGACACCACCACCACCACCACCACCATGGCTTCCTAGGTAGGTATTCCCATGTCTGTCCCAACCCCAGTCACACTGATTCTACTACGAATGAAAACAACCCAAGTTGGCCAGATCAGTGATCTTTCACTTGTCAAATATAGAAATGGTTTCTAGAAATTCCAAATATTAAACCTTCCATAGACAAACTTGGAGTTCCGTACTGGGATGGCCATTTTCTGCTCTGTATTTAGTAAAACATAGTGAAATCTGTTCAATGAATGGAAAGGAGAGAGAGATTGTGGAGAAAATAATGAAATAGTTGAGAAGGAATAGAGACTTAATAAAGTCAGATGGTCCTGTAGGGACAGTGAGGAAGATAAATATACTTGGGTCTGGTAGTGCTTAAACCCTCAACACATTCCATTGATGCCAGAAAAATAATAAGTAAACAAGAATAAGCTTGTTCAAAAGACAAAATTATATTACTTATTGTACCCCTTTATAATGAGTAAAGAAATAAAACAACACCCCACACACTGAAAGTGTAAAAAGAGGTGGATATTTTTGTTATCAAGCAAGGGAAGACTTGTTTTCTGTACCTATTCATAGTCACATGACCAATTTGTTTTTATGTGGTCTGATAGGGGGTGAGGTTAGCCCCCTTCTCCCTTTTCTTATGCGGCACCTTTTCTGTGTTATTTTTGGGCTTTGGGTTTTCATCTTTTTTGACACACCCTGTGAGCACACTCTGGTCCTGGTTCCGGTCTTCATCCAACATGCAAATCCTCCCCAGACCATGCCTTATAAATCCTGCCCACACCATGGCAGTTCTATCTCTTTGTACTGAATAGCTTTCTTCATATGATTCTTCATGAGGACAATATTTTAAACACACATTTATTTCATTGTTCTCTGCCCCCATTATTATACTGCATGATCCAAAGAGCAGGGACTTCGCCTGCTTTGTTCATGTTTGGATTTCTTACAAAAGTATGTGACTAGATGTGCACTTGCACCAAGACAAAACTAAGAATGTGAACAGTGATAAAATGAAAAAATGAAGGGATAATGAAACCAGATTAAAATGAGTAGTTTCAAAAGAACAATAGTAAGCAGAATTGAACGGAGAATTAAACACTAACTGAAATAGGCCACAAAACACAATCATTTAAGAATATCAATGTGGGTTTACTGTTAAATTGTAAAGAGCTAGATCTAAAAGTATATAATGCATAATATTCCTAGAATGTTCTGGCACATAACATATGCTCAGTTACGATTCATTTAATGAATCTGGAATTAGGTTTCAATGTACATTTACCATTTGGCAAGCTTATACTTCAATATAGTTTAAAAAGTTTGAATTGTTACATGAAAGCTGGCATAAATAGCTATCGATGTGAAAGAATATTGAATTGGTCTTTGCCCTCTATCTCTTGCAAGATGTCACAGGGATTACAAACTCAATGTAAGAATCACCAATACATTTTTGATGAACATTAGAAATTACATATAAAATTTACCAGTGGGCAAAAACGACTTATTAAAGCAAGAAACTCAGTGGTTATTAAATAGATATATTTAAATAAAATGTTAAAAATTTTATGGTAAGAAATGTCCTACAAAAGTCAATTGAGAAAGAATAATTTCTAGAAAAATTTGAAATGCTATACAAAAATGGGAAAGTAAATGAAGTTTGCAGAAACTGAGTAATAGTTTGAGAAAACAACAAGAAATGTCTGTTGTAGCCATTAGCCTGTAAGAGCAGTCACGTTGATTGGGTTTGGAACTTTAAAAAAATGTTTTTATTGATTTTAGAGAGGAAGGGAGAGAGAGAGAGAGAGAGAGAGAGAGAGAGAGAGAGAGAGAGAGAGAGAGAAGCATTAATGTTGAGAGAGAATCACTGATCTGTTGCCTCCTGCACCCCACCCCCCACCCCCTACTGGGGATGGAACTAGCAACCCTGGCATGTGCCCTGCCCAGGGCACTCAGCCACTGAGCCACTCCAGCTGGCCTGGGGTTGAATTTTTTAAATGGTAGCAAAAGGGGGTCCTCTAATTTTACTGGCAGAAAGTGTTACAATTTTGGAAAACAACCTGAAGTCAGCTATAAATATTACAAATAGTGATGCTATTTAACTCAGAGTCTCTCAGCCTCAGCACTGTTGGCATCTGGGACAGACTGTTCTCTGTGGTGAGGTCTGTCCTATGACCTGAAGATTGTTTAGCATCCCTGCCTCCACCCACCTCTCTTCAGTGTGACAGTCACAGATCTGTCAGGACATAGCTCAATGTCTCTTAGGGGGAAAATCAACCCCGATTAGAACCACAGTTTGAATTTAATAATTTAAACACATTTTAATAGCATTAATGTAATAGCAATTTAATGAGAAAAGAGTATGAAAGACCATCAAAGGTGTGAGTAGCAGCCACACCATAATTTCTTAGGTAGCCATTGAAATAAATACATTAATTAATCAAGCAAACAAACAGCAATCTCTTGCCTCTGGGCTAAGACGAATGGGCTCTCAGGTGACAACAGGTAAATGTTCCTGCTTCCATTCTCTGTGACCTTCTCTCTCATGCAGGGTCAGCTGGGTTATGGACTCACCTAGATAAGATCTATGAGAAGAAGGTCATTGTGGGGATGTCTGAATTCCTCCCTGAATAGTTGATGATAGAGGCTAAAGTTCTGTTCACAGGCAAGACAGCAGGAAAGTGTGCAGCATCAGCCCCCAGGCAGAATTGGGCCTCCAAACAAACAAATCACAGTGAGAAATAAACATAACCATGCCCTCTGAGCCTAAGGTTACACATGATGGGAGACTGGCACATTTCCCTCCTGTTACTCCAACCTACAAGCACATGAATATGATATATCTTTTAGCAAGGGTAGGTTAAAGTAGCGGAGGGAACAGGCTTGTTAATCAGCTGATTTTAGGATAGAAGATGAGCCAGGCTCATCCAGGTGGGACTAAGGTAAGTACAGTGGTTCTGTTAACGTTGAAGAGAGAGACAAAGGAGTCGGATTCAGAGAGATTTTGAAAATGTTACCCAGCTGGCTTGAAGATGGAGGAAGGAATATGAGCAAAGGGATAGCAGCCAAGCACACTAACAGGCATCAGAGAGAAACAGATCCTACCCCGAGCCTCTAAACAGGGGCGGGGAACCTTTTTTTCTGCCAAGGACCATTTGGATATTTATAACATCATTCCAGAGCCATACAAAACTATCAACTTAAAAATTAGCCTGCTATATTTGGTCAAACATTTAAATAACTCACCCCT